AAGAATTGGTCAATGTTCATCTATTTCAGGAGGTAGCATATGATCAAGTACTAGTGGTACTGAAGGAAGAAGTCAAAGCTACACTGAAGGAATTGGCAAAAAACAAGGCTCCAGGAACTGACAGAATACCCATTGAGATATTTCAACAAGTGGATGCCATGATGGAGGCACTTGCTCCTCTATACCGAGAAATTTGGAAGACAGCTACCCGGCCAATTGCCTGAACAAGATGCATATTTGTACTCATCCCAAAGAAAGGTGATCCAACAGGATGTAGAAATTATTGAAGAATGTCATTAATATTACACCCAAGTAAAATCTTGCTGAAGATAATTCAAAAACGATTGCAGCAATATATTGACAGGGAATTTCCAGAAATGCAAGCTGGATTCAGAAGGGGATGTGGAATGAGGGATATCATTGCTGATGTCAGATGCATCTTGGCTGAAATCAAAGAGTACCAGAAAGATGTTTACTTCATGTTTTATTGACTATGCAGAACCATTTGACCACGTGGATCATAACAAATTATGGATAACATTTAGAAGAATGGGAATTCCAGAACACTTAATTGTGCTCATGAGGAACCTGTACATGGACCAAGAGGCTGTCATTGAAACAGAACAAAGGGACACTGCATGTTTTAAAATCAGGAAAAGTGTGCATCAGGCTTGTATCCTTTCCCCATACTTATTCAATCTGTATGCTCAGTAAATAATCCGAGAAGCTAGATTATATGAAGAAGAATGTGGCATCAGAATTGGAAGAAGACTCATTAACAACCTGTGATATGCAGATGACACAACCTTGCTTGCTGAAAATAAAGATGATTTGAAGCACTTACTGATGAAGATTAAACACTACAGTCTGCAATATGGATTACACCTCCACATATAGAAAATGAAAATCTTCACGACTGGACCATACACAACATCACAATAAATGGAGAAAAGATTGAAGTTGTCAAAGATTTCATATCACTTGAATCCACAATCAACACACATGGAAGAAGCAGTCAAGAAATCAGACGTTGTACTGCTCTGGGCAAATCTGTTGCAAAAGACCTCTTTAAAGTGCTGAAGAGCAAAGACATCTCTTGGAAAACTAAGGTGCACCTAACCCAAGTCAAGGAGCTCTGGTGGCATAGTGCCTAAGGCATTTGACTGCTAACCAGAAGGTTGGCAGTTCAAATCCACCAGTCACTTCTTGGAAGGAAGGTTGGGCAATCTACTTCCGTAGAGAAACTGCCTCAGAAACCCAAGGAGGGGTGGCTATGAGTTGGATCTGACTCAATGGCAGTGAACTTGGTTTGTTTTTTGTTTTGGGACCCAAGTCATGGTATTTTCGATAGCCCCATGTGCCTGTGAAAGCTTAACAGTGAATAAGGAAGACCAAAGAAGAGTTGCTGCTCTTGAGTTGTGGTGTTAGCAAAGAATACTGAAAATATCATAGACTACCAGAAGAATGAACAAATCTGTCCTAGAGCAGGAATGTTCCTTGAAAGTGAGAATGGCCAGACTTTGTCTTTCCTACTTTGGTCATGTAGTCAGAAGAGACCGTTCTTTGGAGAAGGATATCATGCTTGGTAAAGTGGAGGGTCACTGAAAAAGCAGAGGACCCTCAATGAGATGGATTGATACAGTGGTTACAACAATAGGCTCAGGTCCAGCAAGGATTGTGAGGCTGGTGCAGGACCGGGCAGTGTTTTCTTTTTTGTTGTACATGGATAGGGTCACTATGAGTCAGAGCCGACTCAACGGCACCTAACACACGTTATTATGAGACTCAGGGTCTTGTTTAAATCTTCTGTTTCAGCAACCTCCTCTGATCCCATGCCAGGGGGGAAAGGACACACCATCCCATTAGTACCAGATAAGGGTAGAAAGTTCAAGTTCCCCACTCAGCCTCTGTTGGCACTCGAGGAGGTAGTGTTGCACTATTAGTGCTGGGTGGGGGTGGAAGCTAAGGGTCCTCACTAGGCCTCCACTGATCCTGAGATGAGGTGGATCTGATACCTCCTAGTGGGAAGGGGAAGTGTTCCATATTACTACTGGGGGGGGGGGCATGGAAGACCAGGCTCCCTAAGTAGCCTTTGATGACACTGTGGGGAAGTTAATGTTGGATTGAGGTCAAAGTCTCGGCTATCATAAGATTTTTTTTTAATTTTTTCATTTCATTATGATTTGGGTGAAAGTTTATAGAGCAAATTGGTTTTCCATTCAACAATTCATGCACATTTTGCATGGCATTGATTGCAATCCCTACAATGTAACAGTACTGCCCACTTTTTCCCTTCGTTTCCCTTTTTCCTTCTTTCCTACCTTCCTGCCTTCTGAGCTTTATCCACAGGCAAATGCTGCCCTTTTGATCTCATATGCCCTTTCGATTGTTCTAAGGAGTGTGGCCCTCCCCGGGATACTACTCACCTTATAGGCCTGACTCTGTTTTTTGGCTGAAAGTTGAGCCTTGGGGTGAGTTCGGTTCCAGGCCTGTAGACTGTCAAAGGGTCATAGTCTTTGTGTGTGTGCTGGGGGGCAAGTTCAGGTTTATCTATGGTGTTTGACTGAAGTAGAGCCATTGTTGTCAAAAAGTTTTTGGTCTTGCTGGATCCCCCTTTTCCCTGGCCTTTGGCCACTAGGAGCAGATTCCTACTGGGACTTTTTTGGTCTGTGCCTGTTGTTCTGTTTTTTTTGCTTCCTCAGCTCCCAGTTTGGGGCAAATGAAGGAAAAAGGGAATCCTGGGAACTCACTGTCATGTACTTCCTCAGATCCCGAGGTCCCGAGGTCCCAAGGCAGTTTGCCTTCTTCTTGCCACCTTTCAAAGTCTTCTTGAACATTATGTTTGTTTTATACATAATGTCCAGGATTTAAGCTGTACTTAGTGGGAAAAAAAGAGAAGAGTGCATCTATTCCATGCTGTCTGAAACCGGAATTATTTTTTTTTATCTCCTCCATGTCCGTTGCCAAGTTGATTCCAACTCATGGTGACTCATGCGTTATAGAGTCAAACTGCCCCATAGGGTTTTCCTGGTTGTAATCTTTACAGAATCACATCACCAGGTCTTTCTACCAAGGTGTCACAGGGCAGATGTGAACTGCCAACCATTCGGTTAATAGATGAGCACAAGCTGTTTGCACCATCTGACACCTAAAAGATGTCATAATAATGCCAAAAATATTTCATAAAGTAGATTAAATGATTCTAGTGAAAATTAAATCATTCTTGGAAACTTGGGGAAGGCAGAAACCCGCTCTCTGCCTCCCTCTACGCCAGGCAGGTTTGTCATGTCCTCAACTTCCTGTTCCTCTCCTACAACCTCAAGTAAAGGATTTAATCAGCTCTTGCTGAGAACTGGGCTAAGTGCTAACAAGTTGTTGCTGTTATGTGCTTTCGAGTCGAACCAACACATAGCGACCCCTCCTTGGGTTTCCGAGGCAGTATCACTACAGAAGTAGACTGCCCCATCTTCCTTCTGAGGAGTGGCTGGTGGGTTTGAACTGCCAGCCTTCTGGTTAGCAGTCAAGTGCCTTAGGCACTACGCTACCAGAGCAAGAGCTGAGTGCAAATCTGAGTGATGGGGAAGAGGATTTTTAAAGAGATTTGACTTTTTCTTAAAGGGAACTCCTTCAAGGGCTTTGATATTTATATTGCTGCTCTTATTGGATGCTGAGTCTAGTCGTGACCCCATGGGATAGAGTAGATCTGTCCCTAGGGTTTCCTTGGCTATACTCTTTACAAAAGTAGATCACTAGTCTTTTCTTCTGCAGAGTTTCTGGGTGGGTTCAAACTCCCAACCTTTTGGTTAGCAGCTGGTCACTGAGCCGTTTGCACCACCAGGCCTCCTTGATGTTCATTAGCAATCTACTTCCATAGTGATACTGCCTCAGAAACCCAAGGAGGGGTCGCTCTGAGTTAGGTCTGACTCGATGGCACATAAAACAACAACATAATACTATGTTGACACAGTGACTGCAATGATGGGCTCAGGTGTAGCAAGGATTATGAGGACGAGGAAGCGTTTCATTCTGTTGTACATAGGGTCGCGATGAGTTGGAACTGACTGGACGGCCCCTAACAACAACAACATAATACTATGTGGAGGCTCCTTTCCCACAGGCAGTCTTGTGCAGAAGACCTGAAGAAGAGACCGTTTACCACCCACAGAGATGTAGTTCAAGGTTTTAACAACCAGGGCAGCCTTACTGGCACGTACCAGCTGAGTACCAGCCAAGTCTACAATATTGTCAATATGTTTTTTTCTGCAAAGGGCAGGGAGTTAAACCACAAAGATGATGACAATTATTTAATAACATTTCTAATGACAAGTAATGCATAATCAGAGTTAGAAAAGGTGAAAGAAAATAATTTTCTAATATTCTTCATTACTTCATATTGCTAAAGCAAATTGGGAACCATGAAAAATTCCCATTAAGATCAAGTTGAAGAAACTGCTATGATCATTTTTAAACATAAACTTGCTTTGAGTATGAAAAAGCACTCAATTCCCTTGGGGAGACACAGTCCATATCCTGGTGGCCATGAGTTGAATGAAGCTCTACAAGGCTTTCATCATCAGAAGAAATAAGGAATTCAGTCCCCGAGAGTACACACCAATGTCATAAGGGACACAGTGAATTTTAAGGACACAGTCACTGTGGGATACATCCCCAAATCACTCTGCATGTGGAAATGCAGGGGACTTGGGAGATGTTGGCATTTGGTGCTTCAGCATGGACGAGCAGCTGGAGGAGTCGTTTGCAGCTATGGGAAAAACTGGATTGATGTTTTTAAAGGGTAAGAGTAACTCATATTAAGAAAGAAAAAGAAAGACACTCGAGAGAATCACAAAAGAAACTGATCGAGTGAAGGAAGGGAAGTGGAACATTCTTTTGTGGGGATTTGGTTGAATGAGAAAAAAGCTGGGATCTGGAAGGTCAGACAACGGGACTGGACATGAGCAGAGCAGGTTTCCATGTTAGGATCAGATGTCAGCGCTGGGCTACTTACGGCCCTGAGGGATTGGAGGAAGGGTGGGTTTGACGTTGAAACCTGGGCGACAGATGACTGAGATGACAGGGACCACGGACTTCCGGCCCTGGAGAGTGCCTCTCTCATGTGAGATCGAAGCTTTGGATAGTCCTGCAAGACCGTAAGGAAAAAGATACAGTTAACTCGTTGCTTTCACCAATTGCAGGGAATAAGCACTACATGATGTAAGCACCAGAAACTTTTTAGAATTCATTGCTAACCAAGTAGCAGGAACCAATGACCCCCCAAAGTAGAACAACAGGGATGAGGTTCGGAATATGCCATCTGCGTGGGTGGGCAAGACTTGGGTTGTTTAGACTTGGGTTGTTTGGCCCAAAGACCAGAAGGTGGCTGGAGCCAGCTACTCTCCCAGCCAGTTTGTACCTTCTGTAACAATGTGGCCCACCATACTCTTTCGCAGTTGTACACATACAGGCCCAGGCAGATACATCCGTGTGTGCATGCGCGCACACACACACACACACATACACAGCCTGAAGCTCTTCCTGGAGGAACTTCATCTAATGCCTGTAGGTTTATTTGTACAAGTGGTCTGTTCACCAAGGCTGACAACAGCAGGAGCTGGGGGGCTTCTGGGACTGTAGAAAGCAGGGGGAATTTGGAAGATAGGGATGAGGGTGGAGGCGTGACAGCCATCAAGAAAGCTGCATTGTTAGTGAGGAGAAAGCAGTGTAGCAGGGTTGACAAAGTGGACAGCAGAGTCTACAGCAAGTGGGGAAAAAGGAGGGACCTTACACCACACAATCAAAAAAGACTGAATGAACCAGGCAAGTCAAAGCATCTCAACATGGTAAAGGGAAATGGCCTTTTAATTCCAGAGCGAAAAAGATCTACTGGGTGAGAAAATGATGTGACGTTAACAGAGAACAGACAAAAAAAAAAAAAAAAACTCTTCTCCTTGCTTGCTTTTCTTCCACCATGGAGATGGTTTTGAACTAGAAGGGGGAGAGCAAACATCGTAAGTGAATAAAGGTCCTGGGGAAGAAAGAAGGCGGTAGAAGAGGGAGTCCCCTTTCTCAGTCAGTTCAAGTTTCCAGACCCAGATAAGTTATGTCCCAGGGCACTGAGGTAACATGCAGAGGTGGAGGAGAGCGCTGGCCCTTTGAGCATTCATTGACCGGGAGGACAGCCTGGACCCAGGCAGTACTGATATTGCTGAAGGTAGGAATACTGATCTGCAAACTAGCAAGCCTAACTTTAAACCTTAGCAGACTCTCCTTTCTTAAACAGATGGTCTGTCTGTTTAGAAAATACAGGGTGCGTCACCCCTGTCCCCCTGTGGGCAGTGTGGCTGGGTGGCCAGTGTGGCCGGGTGGGCAGAGCGGCAGCTTTGCTCTGCTCCTGCTCTAACTAGCGCCCTTGCTCTAATGGGGCACCACCCCACCCTGGGCCTCTCTGAACCTTGGCTTTTCATCTATAACAACGGAGGAGAAATACCGACCCTACCCAGAGGGTGAGCTTGACAGAAACATCCACTGGATTGATAAAAGAGTCAGTGACAGAAAAACAATGGGGAAAAATGTGAGGAGAGCTGTGTGGAAAAGGATGCAAACCTTTCAGGGCCTGGGCGCCCTCGCTGCCAATCATTCCTAATCCTGGGCGTGAAGAAATGCTGCCCTCTGAGTACAGCCGTTCCTTTGACCGCGACTGAGACTCGCTGAATCCAGAATACTTGTCAGCATCACAGGTATCTTTGCTGCTGGAAAATGAGAAACAATGATCTGTATGCACATAAAACCCAACCAAATGCACTGCCGTCCAGTAGGACCCGACTCACAGCGACCCCTCCTCGGGTTTCCGAGGCGGTATCACTACGGAAGTAGATTGCCCAACCTTCCTTCTGAGGAGTGGCTGGTGGGTTTGAACCTCCAGCCTTCTGGTTAGCAGTCAAGTGCCACCGGTATGAACATATATGCATGTGTATATATATGTGCATGTGAATACATAAATATGTGTATATATGTGAATATATATATATGTGTGTGTGTGTGTGTGTGTGTGTTGTTGTTGTTGTTGTTGTTGTTAGGTGCCATTGAGTCAGCTCTGACTCATAGCAACCTTATGGAAAACAGAACGAACCACTGCACAGTCCTGTTCCATCCTCATAATCATTGCCATGCTTGAGCCCATCGGTGGTGGTTAAGTTTGTGTGTCAACTTGGCTGGGCCTGGTGGAGTGGCTGGGCAGCTGGATGTAGTATTCCCCATGATGAGACTGGTAATCAGCTCCATGGTGGAATCTACTGTGAGCAGCTGAGTAGCTGCCTTTGGGATGTGGTCTGCTTCCTGTATATAAGGCGAAGCCTTTGGGAACAGTCTCTAGCTTATGGAACACTTGAGCCCTGCATGTAGCTCAATCGTTGTTCAGCAGCCTGCCATGCTCTGCTGATCTTGGGACTTCCAATGTACTTGCATCAATGGCCTGCCATGTGGTTTGGTAACATCGGGACTGTGCCATTTTATTTGCCGGTCTTGGGTTTGTTAGCCTCAGCAGCCAGTAGCTGCCTGAGTGAAGAGATGCTTCTAGCTTCAGTGGGCCAGGAGCAAGAGGCAGAGATGAAGCCCAAGGTAGAGGGGCTTTCACATAGCCCCTAGGGCCTGGCACTTGGAACTTGGACTTCTAGCCTGCAAAAATAGTATGAATAAACTCCTGTTTGTTGAAGCCATCCCATTTGTGGTATATTCCTGTCAGAGTGGCACGAGGGAACCAGAACACCATCGTCACAGCCATGGTGTCAGTCCATCTCATTAGAGTTCTTCCCCTTTGTCTCTGACCCTCCACTTTACCAAAATATCCTTCTCCAGGGACTGGTCCCTTCTGACAACAGGACCCAAGTATGAGAGACAAAGTCTGGCCATTCTTCCTTTCAAGGACCATTCCAGCTGTACTTCTTCCAAGACAGATTTCTTCGTTCTTCTAGCAGTCCATGGTACATTCAATATTCTTTGCCAACACCACAATTCATATGCATCAATTCTTCTGCAGTCTTCCTTATTCACTGTCCAGCCCTCATGTGCATGTGAGGCTATTAAAAATACCATGGTGTGCCTTAGTCTTCAAAGTGACATCTCTGCTCTTAAATACTTTAAAGAGATCTTTTGCAGCAGATTTACCCTGTGCAATACATCATTTGATTTCTTGACTGCTACTTCCATGGGCATTGATCAAGATGCAAAAATATCAATGGCCAGATGACCTGTTCCTGTCCTTTATTGGATGCCCTTTATCAAAGTTAGAGAGTTTTAGGAAGTGCCTCTGCTGAGCCGAAACATGAATGGTATCTAGATGGCAGCCTTGCAGCTAAAACTCAGTTGCCATCAAGCTGATTCCGATTCCCAGCGACCCCATGTGTGTCAGAGTAAAACTGTGCTCAGAGGGTTTTCAGTGGCTGATGTTTCAGAGGCAGATTGCCAGGCCTTTCTTTCGAAGTGCTCCTGGGTGGACTCGAACCGGTACATTTTCATTAGCAGCCAAGCACATTAACCATTTGCACCATCTAGGACTCCACGTAGCAGCCAATACATCTTAAAAGCACACAAAGTACTGTACATGTCAGCATGAATGCCTTACCCATTAAACAAAACAGAACATCATACTAGGTGCTGGAGTATAATACAAGATGGTCCTAAACCCTAAGACCTTGAAATCAAAGCCAATTCCTGCAGTTTCAAGGGTACCAAAACCAAACTCACTGCCATCCAGTCGGATCTGACTCATAGTGACCCCTCCATGGGTTTCCTAGGCAGTATCTCTACAGAAGTAGATTGCCTAACCTTCCTTCTGAGGAGTGGCTGGTGGGTTTGAACCGCCAGCCTGCTGGTTAGCAGTCAAGTGCCTTAAGCACTACGCCACCAGAGCTCCTACAAAAGCATGTTGGGGCCTGACCTGGACCATACATTGGGCATGTCTGGTTTGGAGGGACTGTGATATTTTTCCTCCTTTCAGGACAAGAAGTCCCCGGGTGGTGCAAACAGTTAATGAACTTGGTTGCTAGCAAAATGGTTGGAGGTTGGAGTCCATCCTTGGAAGAGAGACCTGGTGATCTACTTCCAAAAAATCAGCCACTGAAAACCATCTGAGTTTGTTCTACGTGGACACACACAAGGTGAACAGGAGTCAGAACTGACCAGACAGTAACTGGTGAACAGTTTTAGGACAAGGTAAAGGCATGATGTGGGGCTGACATCCTTGTTTCTAGGCCAATGCACTTCCTACTGCAAGGTTCCTCTCCTCTGAGAGTCTCATTTCCTGGCTTCCTCCCAGGACAGCTCAACCTGAAGAGCCTGGTGAGGTTACTGGGGCTGCTTGTGGGTCCTGGGGTCTCACAATTCTGGACCTTTCACCTGTACTCTTGTGCCTCATCCCCAGAAGTCCCGTCAATCTGAAATTGACCCCATGAAATTGGCTGCTATTTAATCCATGCCTGTTTGGAGGAATGCTTCATTTTAACCAGGGCCAACATCTTTAGATAAAGGAATGCAACCCTAGTGACTGATTTTCAGGCATAAACCAGAGGATGGGAGAGATTTTCTGTGAAGTTGCCTCAGTAGAAGTGACATCCCGTCCTGAGTAATCCCTGACTCAGTCAGCAAATAAGGATAGCTCAGATTCCGGCTGATGGGAACCTAGACATGCTCCTCTCCTCCCCCTGACCCACCCACCTCTCTTCTTGCCTTGGGACCCCACTGCTGGTTTTCTCTTGCCACTCTTTTCTGTCACTCATTCCTCAAACCATTTGTAATGTCAGCTCTGAGCAGAGAATCTCTCAAAAGAGAACTCTAGAACCTCCCCTGATGCAGCTGCCAGGCCTGCTGGCTTCTTCACTCATACAAATACTTCGTTATAATTAGGTAAGTGGCATGAAGGGAAACACAGGGACTAGGAGAGGTTGCCCTAGGGATGCCAGGCAGGTCTCCCTGAGGATGTGACATTGTAATTGGGACATGATGGGTGAATTAGCTGGGTTTAGGGGAAGCAGGGGTGGGAGGCGGGACTGCAGCAGAGGATGAATGTTCTATACAGAGGGAGCATCATAGCTGAAGGTCCGTCCTGGAGGCCAGATGTCCTTTCTCCAACTTAACAGTTTTAGGAATGCCTCCTAGGCAAGGTGGACTTCAGGAATGGTAGGAAGAAGCTTGCTGGGGAGAGTAACTGATCAAAGACAAAAAGTAGAAGGTACTTTTACAGAGAAGGCTCAAGGGTGGGAGTAATTCAATCAATGGAAAGATAAGATGGGTAGGATGTGCACAGTGGGACTTTGGACTCTGGAGTTTACCATGACAGAACCTGCAGAGAGGACGTCACGGCTTAAGTGATATGCAATGCTCCTGAGAAGAGACAGAGGCTGCAGCACTTGGATGCTACTTTGTGACTGGAATGTAGAATCGCCTCTCCAGCAGACGGTCTCTTCTACAAGAACCGGCACAGCAGCAGATGGTCTGTTCTGTTCAGAACCAAGTCCTCAGCAAGTGATCTATTCTTTCTAGAACAGCTCTCCAGCAGATGGTCTATTCTATCTGGAACAAGCTTGGCAGCAGACAGTTTATTCTGTCCAGAACCAGCTCTCCAGTACATGGTCTTTTCTGCCCGGAATGAGACCTACTAGATAGGTCCCATACTGCTGAGCAGGCATGCTGCTTCCCATCAACTCCTGCTGGGGTAGACTCTCAGACAGAGGTAGTCCAGGATGGGGTATTGCCCAACCCAGACACTCTGCTTGTAAGTTTTGGCTACTTGTTATCAACTGGTAGAAATTGCTTCCTTGAAGGAGAGGGTTCATTTCACCAACTTGGGCTGGCATAGTGCCTAAGGCATTTGACTGCTAACCAGATGGCTGGAGGTTCAAACCCACCAGCTACTCCTCAGATGGGAGATTGAGTAATCTACTTCCATAGAGATCCCACCTCAGAAACCCAAAGAACAGTCACTATGAGTTGTATCGACTTGATGACATTGTGTGTGTTTGTGTGTGTGTGTGTGGGCTGAGTTCCTGGGTTGGTCCTCTTTTGCCAGACAAAAGATTTTGGAACCCCCTCATGAACTTCAGGCCTTTTCAGGTAGAACATCCATGTTCCTGGAAGACCTGTTTCTCAACCTCTTGCTCCCTCCTAGGGTAATTGAATATGTCTGAGAAGCACTTCCAAGAGAGTTTAAATTGATGCCAATACTGACAACATCTGGAATTTCCAGGACTGAACTACTCTTCTTCAACCTCCTGCAGTGGAAAAGTGCCATTACCAACCCATGCTTGTAATCTTCTCGCTAGATTTATACCTAGACTAAGTCTTTCCCCATAAATGCAGCTGTTTACACTTTATAGGCTAGAGCGTTTATTCTAATGATAAAAGCATAAAACATGTTCTCCCCTATTATAGGGAAAATCATAATGATCTATAGATATGATGGCTAAAGCTCTAAAGTGATCTAATAAATATATTATTTTGCAGAAAAAAAATGGTTAGAAAACTTTCACTGAATTTTTAATGCTTATATTCTCTACCTTACTTTTGGGAAATAACATGTCATCATTTAAAACACTTAAAATGGATCATTCTCCCTTTCAAAAATTACTTTTCCTCTGTATTAAAGAACGTACTAAATGTGAATGCTTAGACAGTTGAAAATTAAAAAGTGGTGGAGTTGAGAGACACGTTTACTATCACATGTGCAGGGTCAGACTTGAGCGATAGCTGTGTCCCTTTTTCCATGGGAACGGGTGATCGATAAGCCCACTGCAGCCTATTAGGCATTCTTTCTCTTTCTCTCACTGTATTCCCATCAGCCTACCTTACTCAACTACAAATTCAGAGCTGAAACAAAGCCTCAGAGATCCACAGTTTCATCATGGTTGTTGTTGTTAGGTGCCATCGAGTTGGTTCTGACTCATAGCAACCCTACGTACAACAG